ATCTCAAATTGCAATAATTTGTTGTAAAAATCATAAAACTTTTTTACCAAATATTCAATTAATAATTTAATACTTTTAATTAAATTCCTGTACGTAAGTTCAAACAAAGTTAAACGTATAAACATATTACTTTACAACCCAAAAATTAATACTCAAATTATTGATTTATTTATTAATCTTCTGAAAAAGAGAAGTCGTCATCGTCATCACTATCATCATATTCAAATGACTCCTGTTTTTTCAAAGTCTCTTTTAATGTGATTTTCTTTGTAGCTTGTTGACTCAATTCGTTCATTTGTTTTCTATAAAGTATTTCTCTCTCGTCTCTTAAAACTTGTTCTATAGTATTGTTTTCCATTCTCTCAGTGATTTCTGTATATGAATAATGATCAAAGACGTTTTCTACTATTTCGTACCCAGAAATGTGTAAAGTTTTGGCCTTGATATTTCTATGATTAACATCTTGGAACAACGTCCTTATTAAAGTCCTCAAGTTCTCTCTTGTTGTATCAAACATTTTCGTTGTGATGTTATTAGTTGCTACAATAACATCCTCTTGGCGAATAAATTTCAATTCGGTGGAGTTTTCTTCAATCTTTTTAAAATAAATTTCTTTCGCATTTTTCATCACAAGAGCGCCAAAGTACTTTTCGACTCTTCGCGGGTAGCTGAATTAAAAGTATAGTAAAACAAAAAATGCAGAACTTGAAATAAATTTGGGTTATTTTTTCAAACTTTTGGGAGATCGTCCTAAAAAGTTGCTGTAGATGGATCGATTTCGGTGGATGCGTTACAACAGCCGTATATATGGGCTAATACTTCGGGATTATAAGTTTATGGGATTTTTGACGTTTTAAACAAAAACCAAAAAATTATATCGGTTATATAAGTAAATTGTTAATTGAGAAATTACACCGACTCTAATTATATGACCGTTATAAAAAAATAAACAAATAAATATTTTAAAATGATTCTTGTTCGCTCTATTTTATAAACATGCTAAAAGTTAAGAATGAAGGTAATCTTTATTAATAATATATTTCTGTCAGCAGATCAAATATATTTAAAAATGATAAATTTTGACAAATCAAACATTTACTAAATTTTTGTAAATATAAATAAAAAACACAATAAAAGTCCATGTTTTACCAAAAGAAATTAACTTATTTTTTTAAAAAAAATATGGATGATTGAACATTGATTTGCTGAATTTGTAATTATTTTATGTTTAAAACGTCAAAAATTCCATAACCCAATCATCCCGAAATGATAGCCCATATGTGGCTGTTATACCCCATCCACCGAAATGGGTATTATTTGGATAAGAGTCTTTTTGGCAAAATCGATCTCTTATTTTTCAAAATTTTATTTTTTTCAATTTTTTGGTGCCCGATATTTCAGTCTATTTTTCCCTTTTATACACCAATCCACTGAAAAACGCCAATCCAATGTCATGCCCTTAACCCGCCAACAACCCAATACTGCTCTTTTTAACAGTTTTTTTTTATAATTTGTCCCAAAACTGTTTAAATAATTTTGAAATATTATTAGGTGATTTTCCTGAAAAAATAGATAAAAACAAATAATATAAAATTATCATAATGGAATTATTTTTGATTTTTTATACCAAAAAAACGTTTTGTGCTACTATTTTTTAAATAAAAATTTGAAAGCAAAACAGAACAAAAATGACAACCAAAATAATAAAGAGTTGGTGGAAAAAGTCGGCTTTAGCAAATTATAGTAATATATAATATTTATTGTTATAAATAAATAACATTTTGTATTATTTCAAAAACATTAATTAAAAACATAAAAAAATAATTAAAAATACTTGTAAAACCAAACAATGGTTGAATTTTTTAATATTCCCGTCAATAAAATTAATGTTTCTGATACATAACACTGTTTTGTTGTTGTGGTTGTATTACCCCATAAACAGTCAATTGCGACCACTTGATGTTTGATTTTGTATTTGAAAATAATGTTTGGCAAATACAAAAGAAAGGGTTTGAAAGATATCAAATTAATCATTTGATTTATTATTTAATAAATACAACACAATTCAACAATAAAAAACTTAAATGTAGCATTTTAAAAAATTTTTTTATAACAACAAATTTTGACATTTAAATATATTAAAGAAACCCACAAAACGCAGCAATTGTTTTAAAATGTCACTCATTCAATCCAGTCATGAGTTAAATAAATGTGAAAGTGTCAATGTGTAAAATCAACTGAGATTGATTATGGTAATAACTTATAGTTTTTAAATATTCAATTTTTGTATTTAATTTCAATAAAATGTTTAAATATCTAAATTGAATTTGTGTCCTGCTCGAAAGTTATATAAATTTTAATAATATAAAAATACAAATAATAACCAATAAAAATGGTTGTTCATTATAAAATATAGTTAATCTTATCGAGATAGACTATAATATTCCAACTCTAAGAAAATTATTCATAAAATTTAAAGACAATGATAAAAGTTCACATTACCAATGTGATAATTGCTATTTCTTGTTTGACAAAACAAATAAATTATAATAGTCGTAATAAAAAATAAAATTGGTTGTGTTCACCGAATGACGCAAATTAATATTTGTGATTGTTATTAACAATAAGTAACGTGCTTCTGTGTCATAGTGAAATGATAAAGTCGAAATAGTTGTAAAATATAATAACGATAAAACGAATCCATTATACATCGCTTTTACAGACAGTGATGTTTTTGCAATTGATTATCAACCAACCCAAATATAAATAATAATAATAATTTAAAATTTTTAATTGACAATAAAAAGATAAATTACTCATAAAGTAAAAAACAACAAAAATTAAAAATATACACCAAATAAATCAATAAAATAGCATTGATAAACAAAAAAGTTTGATTTTTTGTTGTTTGAAAAATTATAAACATAGTTATGGTTTACCTTATTCATTTTAAACATTCCTTTCAATAGATTATTAAAAATGTGCTATTATATACATCAAAATATCAAGAGTCATCAACAAACAATTGGTTAAACAGTCCATATATTAGACAAAAAGTTAGACAACAATATAAAAATATATGTATTATATGTAATGAAGGGTAATTGTTATTAAAAAAAATAATAGATTTGACATTATAATCTGTTTTTAATGATTGCTTGTTCGTTTTTAAATTCTTTTGATAAAAACTCTTCAATAGATTAGTCACTTTATAGTAAATACCAAAAAGATGATAAAATATATTTAGAGAGACAAAAATTGCAAAAAATCTTGCTACATCGTACTGTTTAAAATACACAGTGAATATAATGGGTTTTTTGAAAAGTTTATATTTTTTATAAAGACTATTGTGTGTACATAAATTTTGTGTGTTTTTTAATTATCACTGATGTGTTCATGTTACTTTTGCAATTTGTATTTCATTTCAACTTAAAACCAATAGTTTTTTATGTATAAAAATATATATTTGTTTCAGAATAAATGTTGTTGCATTTTACCATTATTATAATTTTGCCATTTTTTACGTTTTTGTCATAAAAATTTATATTTTTTCTTTTTTTTTCAATTTATTTGTTTTTTTAGTTCACGATTTGTATTCGTTATTCCATTTTTATTTTACTACAATTGAACTACACTGTATAATATAATTTTTTCAAAAAAAAACAAAAACACTGCTCTTTTTAACAGTATTGGTTTGTTGGGGATTTGGTACGTCGGCGAGTTAATCAAACAACCAATGTTATTATTAATTCTTTTAATGAATTAAAAAAATAATAATTTGATTGTTAAACTAAAAAAATCACTTGGTATTATTAAATGTTGTTTAAAAAAACAATAATATTAGTGCCCTTATTTTTCATTACAATTTTGTCACAGTCGTGTTCTGTAATAACTGAAATGACAACATCAACAGAAATCACAAGTAGTTGTACACTAACCAAAAGCGTGATATTAGGGACTGACATGAATCCCGATGTTGTTTTACTTGTAAAAAGTAATGCTGAAATAAATTTAGATGGACAATATTATTTTGGAGGGTTTGGGGAAATAGAATTAATTTCATCATGTTCAATTAGGACCACTGCATACCCTATTAATTTCAACGACAATGTAACACTTGTAATGAACAATACCTCATACATGCGTAGTGGAAATCAACCAATTAATTTTAATGATAATTCAAATCTGATAATGGTTTCAAACTCATATACGGATCAAACTCCATCTATTGATGTCTACGACGACTCCACAATAAATTTAAGTGATAATTCAATGATAGATACATCAAATTTCAATACTAATGGAAAGCCAAAAGTTACTTTAAATGGGAATTCAAAACTCATTGTTTCGAGTTCAATACAATTAAATGGTAGTACAACACTTTTAATGACTGACAACACTTTTATGTCGACACCAACCTTATCTTTAATAGATAAAACAAACGTCCAATTTGAAAATAACGCGATGGTGAATATTACTAAATTAAATTGTATTTCAAATACCGTACTTGTCATAAATGATTCATCAATTGTTGAATCTCAAAGTGACATCACTCTATTTAATTCTTCAAAAATATTTCTGGATGCAAATGCATTGTTGAATACTCAAGGTAATTTACTTATGAATGGTGATGCAACACTCACAATAAGCACAAATTCATCTTTTAATTCTTCGGGTGGGTTGGAACTATACAACAAGTCATATATCACAATAAAAGGAAAGGCTACTATGAACACATCAACACAAGTCAATCTTTATAATACATCAAAGTTATTAATTAAGGAATACGCTGTAATGAATTTAAATGAAATGTTGTATTTAAATAACGATTCAAGTGTTATTCTCAATGATGAAGCTAAAATAAATAGCAATTCGAGTGTTACTGCATTAAAATTTGTGAAAATAATGCTTACAAATAATACATCTATTAATGTGATGAATTATATCAATTTGAGTGGGTATTCGACAATAACAATGGTAAATAGTGCACAAATGCATATTTATAAAGTATTTATTGGTGGTGAAAATGCAGGTCTTATTATGAAAGATGACAGTTACGTCCAATCAAATACAACATTCAGTTTACATGTATTTGCAAGTTTAACACTTGAGGGAAATGCAAAATTATTTGCAGTCGGGTTGTTAGATTGTTATGAAACTGTGACAACCACTGTAAATGATAATGCTTCCATTATTTCTTTGGAACAAATTAAATTCAGAACATATGCAATTGGGACATTTAAAAATAATACAAAAATAGAATCACAAATATATACACTAATAATTATGCAAAGTTAACTTTAAAAACAATGCAACTTTTACATCTACATCAGATGTAAATTCTTTGATAAAC